GGACTTCATGAAAATTACGCCTCCCTTTTCGATGCTCCCTCTTCACCATATTATGACGAAATGTACAGTCATCACCTTTTAAGACTATCCTTTCTATGTGCGAGGTGTGTGGGTCCGCAGCAGCGTGCAGCTTTTACAGATAAAAAAGGCACGGGAACGGGTTGGAGGGTAGCGGTACCCTTGTACCATCTTCATACTCTGCCCGCGCTGCCGAACGGCCAGCTATACTGCTAATGATAGACAAACGCTTTACTTGTCTGCGTTCTCTCACTTCTGGTTGTTCTGTATCGCTGAGTACCTGTTTCGCTGCTGGACCTTAGTATCGACGCATGCGCTGCACCTTAAGCATAGCGCGGGCGGAGCATCGGGACATCACTCGGTAGGGGAAGTGCCTTACAGATCCGTGCCCTTACATTTTTTAGGGGAAAATGGCTCCCTACTGTAGCTGCGGACCCAGTGGCGTCATTCCACATGGCAAGGACCGCCTCGGAGCTGGTTGTATAATTTGCCGGAGTGTCAGCTAATCCTTATGGCCAAGATATTAGATCTCGTATTAATTGTGGCAGATACTGTACCTTGAGAATATTTGTCATAGGCTGAGAAAAGCCTATTCGGTGAACATTCAGATATTCAACACATTCTTTGGTGGCCGCTATATTATAGTTCTGATGGGATTATTTTCCATCTATACTGGAATCCTGTATAATGACGCGTTTGCGAAGTCCATAAATGTGTTTGGCAGCTCCTGGGCTAATCCATACAAGTAAGTCCCTAACTTTTCCTTCATGAACCTCCTAATAAGGTCCTTTTGATTCAGTCAAAGTGAGATTGATTCTTGGCTTAACCCGAGGTCGGATGCTCGGGAGTTAAGGCTCACGTCAGTAACGCTGGACCCAGCAACGGCGTTTTTGAAAGAGGTACTGGCTGCCCTTCATTCATTTTTCGCATTTTATCTTCTTGTCACACACAATATAATTTTTTTACTTCAGCGAGGACCATATCCAATGGGAGTTGATCCTGTCTGGAATATTGCTGTCAATAAACTGTCGTTTTTGAATTCGATGAAAATGAAAATGTCTGTGATCATCGGTGTTCTTCAAATGACATTTGGTCTATTTTTGTCATTCTCGAATCATGTGTGAGTTCTGGCACCACTCTTCGGGGTTTTGAAATTTCTGATTTTTTTAGTTTTTTGTCATCAGATCTTTCATCCTATTTTCTGGGTCTGGTCTTGCCTCACTTTTTATAATTTCTTTTGAAATCTTTTTGCAGGTTCTTCAAATCTACTGTTGATATCCTAACAAATTTCCTACCTCAGATGGTCTTTATGAGCTGTATTTTTATCTACCTTTGTGCCCAAATTGTGGCCAAATGGGTGTTCTTTTCTGTTGAAAAGGGCATTGTTTTAGGGATGGATTATCCTGGTAAGTTGTTTTCGAGTATCGTACTTCAACTTACGCTGCTTTCACTTTTTGTGCCAGCTCAGTGTGCCTATTAGAGTGGACTATCGATTAAGTGCGCGTAAAATCGATACCTTTTTTCGGACACGGTACAGCGTCGGGATGGGAGAAATGGCGCTGTGGATGACCCTCCAAAGTTTCTTTCTCCTGTACGACCATCTCTCCCCAATTAATTATCGTTCGTTTTTCTAGGTTTTCCAACTTTCTACCACTTTTTACTTAGTTTTGCAAGAAATATTCCAGTTTGTCCCTCAAAAAGTGTCGGTGGGTCGGGTACGACCCCTTCCTCCGGCTCTCTGTCCCTCCTCATCGAATCGAGCCGTTGAGCGCGGGGGATGGCGGGGGGAAAGGTATATAGTACGCATGAAACAGGAAAATCACGAAAAGTCAACCACCACTCCCACCACTCCTAGAAGGGCCAAGAAAGTAAATACGACCCCCCCTCCCAACAATGAGCAAGTACGACCCCCCCCCCCCTTTTACAACGTCCGTGAAGCGAGAAAAATCAACTATCAAAATAAATTTTTCTCAGCCCAAATACGACCCCCCTCTCCTGGCGGCCAAATACGACCCCCCTATTGGGGATTCCCCAACAACGATGTGCCCTGCCCCCCTGGTTCCCTCCTCATCGAGCTGGAGCGAGGGGTGAGAGGGGGAATAAATAGCACATGAAAAATGGGAAAAACGGCCAGAAAATTACGACACCCCTCTCTACCATTTCCTGCCATTTCTTCGATTTTCCACACGCCTATCTACCACTTTTTTTGGAATTTCCCTAAAATTTCTCACTTTTACGCAAACAGCGAGCGGGGAGAGGATGGGAGAGGAGCGGTATATGGGTATTGAGTACACATGAAATAGAAACAATAAAAGCATGAAAAGTCAGCAACTCTCTCAGGAAGGAATTACGATCCCCCTCCCCTTCCCACCTTCTCCCAGCGACTAAATACGATCTCCTCTGTTGGGGAATCCTCAACAGCGATGTGCCTAGGAGCGCGGATGTTCTAATTACAACTCTACAATGTCGAAAGTAATAGTTTCATGGTGGCAGGCTCTGCGGATCGGCAGCTAGAGGGGGAGGGGTATAAATAGCGAGCATGAAACGGGAAAAACCGTGAAAAGTCAACGCCCGAGGAAATTCCTCTAGCGGTTCGAAGGAATCTCTGTCAGAGCCAGATGCGACCCTCATCACGCAGCGACCCACATCCAACAATCAAGTTTCAAATAGTAGCATTGTTAGCGCACCTATGCGTGCTTGGTAAATAAGTAAATAAATAAATTACGAGTTTCCGGATAAGGTTTTCCCAACGATGCTGCATCTTCTTTTCAGAGAGTTATCAGAGGTGCAGTTGGATAATGACAGCTGTTTTGATCAATCGTGCAGTCGTTAATACTGAAGTCAGTCGGGGCGTGTCAGCGGCGCGTCGGTTCTATCGCAACGCCCGTTCCTTTCCTACTACTCATCGATAAGCCACGATTGATGGGAAACAGGCAGGCGGCGCGCCAGAACCCATGCTCTCTGCATCCCCCCTCACTGACTTCAGTGATAACGACTGCAATTAATGGAATACATTCTAGGATCGTATTGTGCTCCTTCACTATTAATTGGTCTCATTAACATGTTCATGCTGAAAAACCGACCTGTAGGATATATGGCAGAGCAGAACAGTACCGTACATCATCCTACATGTTTTCTGAATCAGTGGTATCCGGACCAAGTGAGTTTTGCTATACTATTCATTGTGTAGGCCTGAAGCCGTCGACAGCTGTGGGTGGATGTTACCTATCATCTAACCCCTCTCACTCAGGTTAAACGTGTGAGTGCTGCAAGGCTATGATATGGAAAACATGCAGCTAGGAGTGTGGAAGGAGGCCTCGGTAGTGTTACAGGTGGCAGTTCGGCTTGGAGGGAGTCACTAACCAGTACTTGACTAGGCTGGGCAGAGAATTACTTTCTCTGATTTCAACCTCTTCGAGGAATAGAGAGGGTTTCTTGACAGTTTTGTGT